TACTTCCCTTATTTCACTAACCTACTTAAGTGTCTTACAAATTGAGAAGCTTTGCATATGAAATGTGTTTCAAAAAGTTCATTGTTTAATAAACCAACAAAGAGTGGCTCAAAATAGCATAATTCCATGCACCTTTAATAGGAATTCTAGTACATGGTTCTCTGTTTAATATATATCCTAGCATTTTGTCATTTGGATGGTCTTTTAGCATGTTCTATTCTTTACAGAGATCTTATTGTTTTGTCTAAGTTGTCTTTCATTATTTTAGACTTCTAAAGTGTATTTTTCTTCTCTTTTGTTTTAAATTGGGCATGTGTTTGATAAAATTTCTCTAACACTGACAACAATTATTCATATCTTTAAGAGTTAAATTCATTAAAAGTAACATAAATAAACTCTTCAACAGTCATTGTTCTTTACTATAAACTGTAAAAGCCTTTCCAAAATTAAAAATAATAAAGAAAAACACATTTACTCACTATAGCATTAATTTTTTCAAAGAAAAATGGAAGTGATATGAGGCCACACTAGGAGAGAAATCCTTTTTCACAGATGTTTAGGTGAAAGGCAATTAGATTGGGGTGAATCGTAGGGATCTCGAGGAGTGTTAAGATCAAAGAGAATGAGGGACTGCAGAGGAAGAGCGGTTTACATTATACTACAAAATGAGTGGATGCTTGTGATGACTCAATGAAGAAAATCTTAAGCAAAATTTAACAATTACGTTGGTCGTGTACAAACGTTACCAATATTTTTCTTTACAAATTTTTCAAAGAATCATGGAGTGTCAGTGCTGTGGGAGATATTTCAGAGGTATGGAAAGGTTGAGGATTTGTTTATTCCGAAGAAACAAGACAAGGATGGACACAAATTTGGGTTCTTGCAGTTTGCGAAGGTCGGGGATGTCCATGACATGGAAAAGACTGAGTTTTATAACGATAGGCAACATGCAGATTATAATGAATGTGTCTAGATATAGCGAAGCTGGCAATGAACAGGAAATCACAAGACAAAGTCAAGATGTTGTGCTGGTGGGCAAAAGTTATGTAGATATGGTGAAGGGAAGGGACTTGTTGGAGGGCCAAATAAGAATGCGGTGTGGGTACCTAAGAAAAAATAGTGGTATCATAACAAGTTCCATGTTGATCAGGATATGGTTGAGAGGTGTTGCAACACAGTGGTGGGAAGGTTATACTAGCCAGAAGAGCTCAATAGTGTGGCTGACTTCCTTTTACAGGAATCCATACAGAATGTAGAGGCCATTACCATGAGTGACAATATGGTTCTATTAGAATCAGAGGGTTTGGAGGATCTAAGGGAGGTTATAGCTAGGTATAAAAATGGCTTGTCTAAGTTGTTTTATACCATTGATTGGTGGCATCCTCGTATGGTGGCTGTTAATAGAGGAACATAGGTTTGTTTGTACAACATGTCATATCACGCTTTGTCAGAGGCATTCTTTTAGAAGATGGTGTCACCACTGGGAGATTTTGTGTGCATGGACAATGGTATGAATTTTTGAAGACATATAGATTTTTCAAAAGTCTACCTACAAACTCAAACACATGCACTAATTAATGAAGATCTAAGGATTCATGTTAATGATCTCGTGTTCTCAATCTGGGTGGTCGAGAAACATGGGGGAGAATTCTTTCAAGGAGGGTGACAGTATCATGATTCAAATACTTCATCGTAGAAGAGTTATGATAATGTTTCATTGGATTTGAACGCTTTGGAAGATGAAAGTTCAGATGATGGTGAGAAGGACTATGATCTAACGGCAGGAAGTTATCCGTGGGCAAGTGTATCTATCAAAAAGTAATAAAGGATTTTAAAATTAAGTTTCCAAGTTATCGGCCCACAAAGATTATTTTCAATTACCAAGAATACCTAATTCAATTGTTTAAATAGAGAGGATGCATAATGGATTAAAATCAAAAAGATTTAAATTTAAAAAGTAGATTAAAAGAAACAAATGAGGTTTTTGACAAAAATTGGATGAGAAGAGTCTAGGGCATAGGGTTTCATATATTAGACCTTTTTATATTTTCTTTAGTTTAATCCCAATGTTAATTTCTTTAGTGTTTACCAAACACCCATACTTAATCTATTAACACCCAATGATCATGAAATGTTAATATTCTTTTTGCTAGGCAATTATCTCCAATGATCATGCAAGGCAAAAGGTAGAGAAAGCATAAAGAACCTACGGGTTTGTTAATTTAATAACGGTTGGAAGAAAAGGATTAAGTTTGCTCTGCTTAGCTCTTTATTTCTTTTTATCCTATAGTTCCATTGATTACATATGATACGATTGCCTACGATGCAATTAACTATGAGATGGTAAGAGTGAGTGGTTCTTTACATGAACAATTCAATTCAATAGGATAAAAACCAAACACACAAAGAAACTAACATTACTATTAAACGTAAAAATCACACAGAATATGCAATAGGATCCACCATAGCCCTAGCTATAGATTTAGCTACTTATAACAAAACGAACAAAGAAGAGCATGAAGAACAAATCCATAAACACAAAGGGGAATTCAAACAAGAGAAACCCAAAAGGAAAAAAAGATAAAAAGAGTTCTCGTTCTCCAAAAGGTACTCAATTACTCATTCGAACTTCGAAAGGGAGGCTCGTTGTCTTTGCCAATGATCTCTAATAACTCTCAACAGTCAAATAAGTTAGAACTAAGAGGGGGAAGAAGGTGTGTAGAGAAGTGTCCTCTCTCAAAAGCATAAGGCTTCTTTATATTAAGTGTGGAATGAGATATAAGATTGTGACTTAGCTTCCAAGAGATAATCTCAATCTTTAAGAGAGAATATTTGATCTGCCAACCTTCAGAATTTTAACTTTAAAATCTCAACTAAAAACTGCTCCAAATCTTCATATCTAAATCTTTATTTAGGTTTAAATTTTAAATTCAAAATTCAAGTTCAGATTCACATAGCATGACCAAGGGCTAAAATTATCTATTTTTTATCCAAAATATCTCCATAATGCACTTATAACAACTTCTAGTTAAACTACAACAATTAATAGCATAATCAGTATAAATATATATAAAATAGGGTTTAAATGTATAAATACAAGTCATAAAATATATCAAATATGGTGTGGAAAGCACGGAAGGGGTGAATTATTGGGAACAAAATTTACATTATTTTGTGCTAGATATTGCAAAATATTAGGAAAATTTTGAAAGTACGGAGTCAAATTTCATGGAGAACGTAGCAAATATGCGAATGAGAGAGAATTCAAATTATGAAGTGAATATCAATAATGACTTGATTTTCAATAATAATAATATAGATGTTGTGCGATTGGGTGAGGATACATTTGAAAATAAGGTTGACCGAGATGGGCCTTTGTTGATTGAAACTTATAAGGAAGAGAATTGATGGGATATGGAGCTAATAAAGGATTATGGCAAATGAGTGTTATTGATAAGGGGCCAACAGGAGACAAGGATGTGGCATAAAAAGAGCTTATTGGCGAATCTAATGGCCTGATTATTAGGCCTTCTCATTAGTCAAACGAGACTAATCATGTATTGAGTAATAACTAGATTCCATTCAATCCAATATTGTTGTTGAAACAGTAATGCAAGAAAGAATTAATGTAAGGAGTGCACTTTGGAAGACGAGTAGGAAGAGGCACGACTCCAAGTTATAGGTTCGATCTAAATTTATGAAAAACAATTTTGTGAAGGGATCAAAGCTTGGGTCAAATGTTTGGGATATGTATTTTGGAAGTGGCTTGCAGCATGGCCTTTGAGAAGATTGATTTTATATGTGAATTAAATTAATGATCTCTTAACATGAATTGTTACTTCCCTTTGAAGTTGTAACGGGTTAAAATACCCTTGTACTCTAAATTTGTCCTTAATAAAATATTGATGTTTAGTAAAAAAAAAAAAAAAGCATTAAATTTTTCTAAATTATTTTTTCATTATTCCAAACAAATTATTTACTACCATTGAGCACATAGATTAAATGGTGGGGCTTGGTAGATCTAAAAATAAATAAATTATTTACATAAAATAAATATAATTAAAGTTAAGCTTTTTACCTTTGTATAACTAATAAGGGTTTTCCTTAAAATAAATTTAATTAATACTGTATTAGACACATCATATGTAAATATTTCCTGCATTTATCCAAAAGTATTTTAAAAAAAATAGTTTTCATTAACTACAAGTTGGTACCTCTTTTAACAATCTATTTTTTCTTTCTACTATTCCATTTTATTTTAGAGCTTTTGGTTCAAGAAATATTATGATCAATTCCATTCTCTTCACAAAATGATTCAAAATCATGATTCTTGAATTCATCACCATGGTCACTACTTGTATAAACAATTTCAAACTCTTTCCATTTTGAGGGGGATTTTATAGTGGTCTAGGCAAGTTAGTTGACCACTAGGAGGGAATGAATGTGACCTAGTATAGACACGATTGTAGTGGGTGTTAACGTATTATTTGTCAACCCGACAATTTATTTCCTAAGTAGTCCATATAGCAAAAAGTACAGCCAATTATTAGGGCTCCAACAAACAGTAGGAGGTTAGCGATGGTTTACAATCGATTGATTATGTACACTTTTGCGTGTAATAGCTCATTCATTCGGATAATCATTTAGACATAATGCGACTTTGTTGGTGGCTTGAGAAGTGTGAAAAACTTGTGGATCGCGATACAAGGCAATAATATTTCTTCGATTGATAGTGTTGTTCTGATTGTTGGTTTATGCGTTGTGTTACAACAAAAATTTAGAAAGTGGGTGATTTGCACCTTATAATGTATAATCTAATGCATATGTTTTCAACTTAATTGTTGTTAATGACTATTGTGGTTATCGTTTTCGTTTAAGCTCAAGTTGATAGAGTAATTTGTTTTTATTTTCTTCTATAAATATTTGTTAAAAGGTTTATTCAAACTAATTAATGAACTCTATGTGATGAGTTCTTCTTGAATATGCACTCAAGTTATTTGAACCACTCGTACATTTGCCAGGCTAATGCATATGCTGATGGGAAAAATCAAAGGATTTGCATAGTTCAAATAGCTATGACAATTTTGTAAGTCAATACATGATTTGCTTTACAAAGTAATAGAAAATACAAATCATAATGGAGTGCTCTTCCCAATATAAAAAGGCATGACTAAAATAAAATAATAAATTAATAAAAGAATCATACTGTAAAAAATAATGAAGTGAAAAATTATAAAGTAATTTCTTCCCCTCCAGCTTCCTCCCCTTTATGTGTAGGAACAAAATGTCCAGTGCCCACTGCATCTTTAATACTTAGGCAAATAGAACTTCAATATTCAATTATGTAGTTTTCCTTCACTGAATAATGTATAATATTAGATATTTGGCATCAAGCAAGGAGCCGATCACTGAAAGATCCAACGGGAGAATGAGTGGTGGAAACGATGCAAAGATAAATTGATAAACCAAAATTAGATAGAAGTGATTATTACGATGTCTTGCAAATTCTCAATTTGATGTCAAGAGGTCTATTTGCCAAAGTCTCATAATTGAAAGTGAGTTTAACGGACATTTTTCCCATACCTATAAATAATAAAGAATGTATACACAACACTACATCTTATGACCTCAATGCTTGTATTTACCTCTCCTAGAATAACCAATGTTTCCTTCTTGGTTTATGCTGGATTGGTGCATCTAAAACAAAGGCAAAAGTCATATTCAATACACCAAAAGCAATTGAAATTCAAATCTAACGAATGTTATAGTGAACAAACCTTGGATTGCATACAGTGAATTGTAATGAACCTCAGACCAAAAGCTCAACCACAATTCTACATCATTAAGAACATAAATGGAAACAAAAAGCGTAAGAGAAGTCTACTATATAATACTAAATTAAAGATACGAGAGTATTTCAATTATTGTGGGCTTGATTTTGAAGGAGAATCATCTTACGAGAATTTATTAAGTTGACAAAAAGAGGACAGTACTGCTATCTTAAGTTAGGGAAAATCGTATCTTTGGTTGGAACTTCAAAAATATTTTCTTTATCAGAAAGGTGTGGAGGTACACTACCATTTCAGAATGTGCAAAGCATAATCTTTCTTGAAACAACATTTATAATATGTCAAAAGCTTTCACAAGGCACGTGGTCTCTATTTAGCTTTGCCTTCTACATAATCAAAAAAGACTAAAGTAAGTTATGGCTAGGTATAATAACTGTGATGATGGCCTTACCACGTTGTGGTGCTTGGTACAGTGGCATAATTTCAACGAAGCAAGTATCTCTGAATGATGTCAGAAGGCATATCTTTGCTGCAAACTACATTAAAAACAAGAAACATTATATGGATTCACACTATTTTACAACACATAGCATATTAACAATAGACAAATAATAGCCTCAAATTTGTCAAGAGAATATGTTGTAGAATCAAATTTGAGAACAGAACCAGTGCACGAACTCCAATGGCATAAAAATTTCAGTACAATAAAATAATTTCATTACTATATTATTTTTCCTTCTATTATAAAAATCATGGCACAAGAAAACTCAATTCTTTTGCTTCACGAGTTATGTATCAAAATAGGTAGCCATGATATCTCCATCAATATGCTTGACAGGATAAGAACCAGAATAAAACTTACATTTAAGGTCTTCAAGAACCAGAATTAATTATGTGTGTGTGTGAGGGGGGGGAAAAGAACAGAATGTGAATACCATACACGATCACTTTTCTTTACCAAAAATGCTAACTAGGTTTCACTTACAGATTCTTCGAAGTAGCACACATAACCAAATCTTGTCAATTCACTAATGGACTAAGCAAGGAAAAACACAATGAAAACTAATTCGCAAGATTTGACCCAAAATTGTTAACACCTTAATCCATTAAGTCAATGAATCTTTTTCCCATATGGTCATTACATTGTCCGTTGCTTTCAAATGTGGGGCTTCTTCACCCACCTCTCTCACCCACACTGGAGTTCCAAAAAGTTTCACCCGTTATGAAGGCCACAAACATAAAAGTAAACACACTCACGCACACTTAAAAGCAATATTAGATGCAATACATATTACCAAATACTATTCAAATAGCACATTATTATATTAATAATAGCTTTTGCTAGGTAACAATGAAATAACCAGTCAATTTTGCCCATTCTATCATTTTCAAAGTTTAAGAAGGTATCAAGCCAGTGATGGCATAAATATTTTATCTAAATGGCACTAAACAACATATTTTGCAAAAAAAGAAATTTAATTCTAAAACTTTAATATTCATGACCTGAAATTCCTAGAAGGAAATTTTGAAAAATCAGCCATATAGATCTGCTTTAGAACATTAGTGAGAGCTTGAGAAATATGTTCTTACTTTATACCTCAAGCACCAATCACAAACTTCAACTGAAAATCTTTTTCTCTATGTAAAAATGTTCCTTAAATTAAAATAGAATTGAACTTTTACATCTTTGTTTTAATATAAAAATATAAATATTTTAAAAAAAACAGAATGAAAAAAATAGTTATCAATTGGTAGCATCACTGTTTGAATATACAAACCTTATCAGCAGCTGCCTGTAAGGTAACATGGTCCCCCCATTCTCCAGATCTAACATGCAGTAGAAAAAGGTGAATATAGTGCATTTGATAAAAATGCTACTTAAAGAATCCACAAATGGGATGGTTCATTTTATATATCATGGTTTATCTGAAATATACATACTTAGCCATTTTCTTGTGGTATCTTTTGTACTTCATTGGTACATAGCATTCATATAATGAACGGTGATCTTTGAGCTGGCAATGAGAAACATTATGCAAATAAGTATCACAAACTATCTATTTGCAATATTTAATATAATTAATAGTTTTCATGTTGATCCACCATCTAGAACAGAGGATACAACTTCCCTAATAAATTTTATAACTAAATATGCTGATAACTTAACCTACATATCTTAAAACTTTCCAATTTCTTCTCTTGGAGGACATTGCTTACTCTATACAGTTACTACTTAACTAATACATTTTCATTAATCAATAATTTCCATTTAATTTAATACATTATAAAAGAATAAAAAGCTCCTTTGTATCTCCCCCCTTCTCCCTCTCTTCATTTTTATTATACATTCATTGATTCAGAACTCCTCATCTACAAATCACCAAATTTAAATTGGTTGACCTAGTTAAACATTAACAAACCAAGAAAACCAGATGTCTTCATAGGTTGACATATTTCATGGACATTATTCTTTCCATGACCAACAATAGTACAACATACCTGTTTCACAATCTCTTTACGAACATGCTTATGGTGTTCAGGTGACCTATACAGCTGATCAGAAAGGGCACGAAACTGCAACGTAGGGAGAGTCATCAGCAACAGTTCAAAAAATATTAGGATAATGCTTGTACTTGTACCTCATAAACAGTTGCTATAAAAGTAATAACATACCTGACAGTTTCCATCACCAGATACCTTAACTTCACATAAACCATATACATTCAACCTAAAAGAGTGAAGAGAGAATGGTTTTAATTCCTTCAACAAACAGTAAATGCACTGTAAAAATATGTGCATAACATTTTACAAGCTGATCTTAACCTCATTATTTCATAAATCTATGTGTCTAAGACTTGTCAATATGTGGGTCAACAATTGTAAATGGTAAGAGCAATAGTCAACAATAACAACAACAAAGTTTTATCTCACTAGAAAAGGTCCACTACATGATCATACAATACCACAAGACTCAGTCAAAAACCAAATTTTCAAAGTTGCAAAAAACCTAATCTGGAATTCTTAAAGTTCCAGCATATGAATTCTCTCCATCATTAAGTAACAGTATTACTGTTTAAAAAAATACAGTAAATACTCATGTGCTAAGATCCAGATACCGAAAGGTTGCTGATTTCACCCATATTTTTTCTTTTACATTTCACTGACGAGACATTGAAAATATGCACCTCTGTTTATTCCTAGAGGTTAAAAAAGCCAGTATACTGCTCTCATCAAGAGTTTTTACAACAGCTTTGTTATCTTATTTTCTAACCACAACTACACGACCTCTTAAAATTGCCACTAGAGCCACAGCATGCCCCACAACTCTTCTACTTTACTATGTCGTACATATGTCCATCCCAAGTCATTTTCATTTAAACAACCAAGCAGAATTTGTTGTTTATAGTTTCTACTCATTTTCAACCGAAAAAATTATTTAATTGACCTTCTATATTTTTAATTGTATATAATAAAAAGTGCATTTTTCTGCACATTTTCATTATTTCACTAGCCATCTTTCTACCACAAACTAAAGATTAAGAATACTCTCACAATAAATAGCTAATTTTATATAGGAGAAAGACATACCTCTGAATCAGACGTTGGTGATCCATACTAGCATCACTTACGGTGGGAATAAAGGAATTTATCCGGGGAACATGCTGTAATTTCAAGAAGTTGGAATCAGAAGAAATTTAAAAAAAAAAAAAAACATTAGTCAAATTATGGATATCCCTCTGTCCCACCCTGTTTAAGGAAAGGAAAAGTGCAATTGCCCATAAAAGTCTACCTTCCAATGTGATGATTATGCCAATGAAGCAAAAATAAGATAAATAAGTTTTATAAAAATGTGATTTACAGAGAAGAAAGAAAAAATGTCACCTATATTATAAATCCATAACTGGTCAAAATCCAAAGTTTTATTTAGGGGAATATCTGAAAAGCAGGAATTCTTACAGGAACAGGTTCCAAGTTGGAAAGGCGCTGAGCAACTGCTCCATCTAATTTTGCATACTCTTCTGACAGCACAAGAGCAATCATCCGGTCATCCTCAACTTCCTGCTGACTGCTATGGGAAGTTGAGCCAGAACTTTCACCCCAATATTCAGTCTGAGTTTGATTCATCATATCTTGAGCCAGCACTTACTTGATGTTTCAACTTACAAGCAAACTCTTACAACAATCTACAGACACGGAACCTACAACAATTGAAAGACCCAACAGTCATGAAACATTTTGCAATCCCAAATTTATCGAACAAGTGATCTTACCTAATCTACTTCCTACAAGCCCAGTTAGAACACTCAACAAAGCAACAAAAATAGAATAATGCATCAATTGAGATTAAACCAGTGAGTGTTAAAGCATATAAAGGAAATGATAACGAGAAACAAGACCCGAAAACCCTGCAAGAGTAATATCATATACCAAACCTTTCAATTCCGTCAGAAGAAGGTGGATATATAGCTACGAAATTAATACAAAGTGAATTATAATATAAAACGAGCAAATATGATAATCATGGTGAAATTGATAAACCAGGTCAACAACATAGAGCTTCAATTTACAAATTCTTCTTAAACATAAAAACAATACGAGAAATAAGCTGATACAAATTGATCATAAAATGGGTGAAACTCAATTGACGGGAGACAACTTTTAAACACACGCTCAGATCGTGGATTCTGATCACACATCATAAAACAAAATAATAGAGTGACAAAGCCTAAAAGGGTTAGGTGGATAATCAGCAACATCCAATCCTAAGCAACGAATATAAAAGTTTTACTTTAAATTATACTAAAAAAGATTAAAAAATAACAATAATAACCTGCGATTCTTGCGAGTGAATGAAGTGTTGTTCTTGAAAATCAACGATGCAATGAATGGGTGTGGTGAGGAAGAAGGAAGCAGTAGTGTGTGAGCCTTGTTAAATAATAATAAATACAGAAGTTTCCAATTCCGCGTTTTTTCGGTTTGGTGAGAGTAGATAATAACTTGAATGTCAATGCACAAGACACGTTATTGGTCAGTACTTTTTCGACACTCGCTAACGTCAACGTAACCGATAAAAACAAAATTAGATATAAATAATATCACAGGAATTTAATTTTTTTATGTTTTTACTTTATCTTGATAATTAAAATCAATTCTAGTTAAATTAATCTTGATAAAATTAAAAAAATATTTAAATTAAAAAATATTTATATAATTTTTTATTTTTAAAAAAATTTAAAGTAAAAAAAAAAGTTTTAAAGAATGTGTTAACAATTTTCAAAATTTTTTAAAAGTGAATACAACTCAATCAAATTATTTCATAGTTTAATTTTAAAACTAATAAAGGATAGTTTCTCGTTAATTAATATTTATAATATATATATATATATATAATGTTTTAAAAATAATAAAATGTGTTAAATACTTGAAAAATAAATTTTATCATTTATAGTAAATTTTATCCGGTTTGAAGAGGATATTGACTCAAATGAATGATAGATATAATTTAGGGGAAAAATGATAATGTTGAATTATATATTTTTAAATTTAAATAAAAAATATTATTGTAAAAATATTATAAAACATAAAATAAAAATATATTTATAATAAAAAAATTATTATATACAAAAATTAAGTTGTTATAGTGCAGTGTAAGAGCTTGATTGATTATAACGAAATTAATTAAAAAGTTGTAATTACCATAAAATGATTTATATCATTTTAAAACATGAAAATTTCTAAAATAATCCTTAAACTTTTCTTATAAATAAAGATTTTTAAAAAATTATTTTTATTATTGACAAAACTTATTAAAAGTTTTATATTTTGTGTAAGTAAAAAAAATTATTTTTTATTAAAATTAAAAATATTTACTATAATTAAAGTAAAAATATATCAACCTTCAATTTTTATATTATAAATAAAAATCTATTATACATTCAAGGTATTTATTTTTTTTATAATGTGTCACGTATAAATTTTATTAAAATTGATTAAGAATGACATATTAAGAATTGCATTCACTTTTATTGTAATAATTTTACTTTTTATTCACTTATTTATTAATTTCATTCCAAATTTTAAAAATTAAAGTTACTATTTATGTAATACCCTAAGTTTTGACTACTGAAGTTCATTAAAATTTATATATTTTGAAAGGATATAAAATAAATTTTAATTAAAATTGGCAATATAAAATTGAGAAAAAAAATTTAAAATTTTTTTGTAGATAAATTCATTCGCAGAATTAACTAAGAGAATAAAATGCAAAAAGTAAATTGTAACTTAATAATTCATTATACGGAAAGAGTTAAGGAACATACGGTACTAAGTTCCATTTACATATAACCAGCATAATAATTTACAAAATGTTAATCAAAAAGCTATAAGACTTAGCATAAATATTTATATGACCAAAGTAAACTAAGTCCTAAGAGTAGTCTTTATCCACTCCATATACTGAAGACCTGATTCTAGTCATCCATATCATACCAGCCCTCTATCTCGGCTAAGTCCTCAGCAGTCAATTTTTCATCTTCTCCAAGGTAGTCATCACCAGGATCCACCACAATCTCTATACTTGAAAATCTCTCAAATGTATATTGGGTGGGTCTCCCAAATAGGTTATGCTCGTAGAAAGCAAAAACATTATTTATAACTCTCAAGGGTCTAATTGTCCCTCGATAGATATAAAAACTAAGGATATGATGGATATAACTATTTACGAGAAACTCAAAAGGAAAATCATAATTTACATTCATCTCTACGATCCATATATTATCATCCTCACCATTCATATTAAAGTTAAAATACAAAAGACGTTGACACTCTCTAAAGTCATAGTTCATTATAACACTAACAAGATAGTCTACTAATCTATTTTATCTTTGTGGTGTTGTCATCCTTGTTCCCTGAAACATTTAGTAAGGATAAGCATCTATCTTATTATTTAAACATAGCATTATTTTAAAGGCCAACATCACAGCACAATCATAATCATGGAACATGAGGATACATAATAATATTAATCTCAAAAACAATATATCACAACTATCAGCTAATTACATAGTGTATTAGTTATATTCCATCATAAGTCATTACATTCTTCTCTTTCAAATACACACTCCTAGTATATTGTGATTACAGATATACAATATCTCCAGTAGTTTTTGAGGTCTTACACAACTAGGTAAATAGTCATTAGTTAGTCCATGCACACGGATACAACGTGTACAATAACGAGCCTCTTAGCAAAGGTATAATTAGAAGTCTAGTCAAGAAACAAATATGAGACCATGTGTCATAACCTATTTTTATTAAGAGTTAAAGACACTTTCTGCATTACTATCCCTAATCCAATTATTTACTTATATGATAATGTTCACAATATTAGAAGTATAAACTTTTAAAATCTGATTTCCGTATCTCTCTTTTTGAAAATAAATGAGTAGTGTACTCTAGCTAGGTAATTGTTGGAACTCAAGGAAAAAGATGAAGCTAGTGAGCTTGGAACACTTAGAAAAAGTACATTGAGGCACCGGTATACTAACTTGCCAATTCTCTATATATAAGGTTCTCAATAGTTGATGAAATGATGTAAAATCTTAAATTTGGTCAGCATCTATGCGCATGATTAAGGGAGTAAAACTCCAAAAGTGTGCATGACTATTCAGAAGGTAAGTGTTTGTGAAATCTCACTTCCCTGTGAAGGAAGTCATGAGATTATTTTATAGTTGTTGTTAGTGAAAAAGAAGCAAGACCTCAATGTCTAGGAAATTTAATGAAATTGAGTGACTTACCAATAGCTCTATAAGTGTCCTAGGCCCTGAAAATCTGGCTAAGAGTCTCCATGCGATGCTCCTTTATCCTGACCTTCTCCTGAGGCTTATCTTGTTGGCCAACCTAGATTGATTGGTGGAGGTTCGAGTCCCCACTATACATGCAAAACGTAGGCATCTTAGTGAAACTCCCAACAACTCCCAAACAATAGTTGATGAAAAAGTACATTGAGGCACCGGTATACTAACTTGCCAATTCTCTATATATAAGGTTCTCAATAGTTGATGAAATGATGTAAAATCTTAAATTTGGTCAGCATCTATGCGCATGATTAAGGGAGTAAAACTCCAAAAGTGTGCATGACTATTCAGAAGGTAAGTGTTTGTGAAATCTCACTTCCCTGTGAAGGAAGTCATGAGATTATTTTATAGTTGTTGTTAGTGAAAAAGAAGCAAGACCTCAATGTCTAGGGAATTTAATGAAATTGAGTGACTTACCAATAGCTCTATAAGTGTCCTAGGCCCTGAAAATCTGGCTAAGAGTCTCCATGCGATGCTCCTTTATCCTGACCTTCTCCTGAGGCTTATCTTGTTGGCCAACCTAGATTGATTGGTGGAGGTTCGAGTCCCCACTATACATGCAAAACGTAGGCATCTTAGTGAAACTCCCAACAACTCCCAAACAATAGGATTGTTAGGATCCATAGTCACATAAGCATGAAAATGAGATTTTTGTCAAACTGAGAGTTATCATTTACTTTGATCATGCATCATATAATTAGACTTGTATTTTATTAAATTGTGAAAATGACAATTGTTCCAATGTAACATTTTGTTTTGTTTCTTTTCTGAATATTATTTACTTGAAAATATATTTCACTCTTTCTTTCCTTGTTGCAATGTGTTTTAGTGTTGAATATTTTCTTTTAGTTGTTGCAAACTTTAAGGATGACTTTTCCCGTATTTTTCTCTACGTTGAGCTAGAATTTGAGAAGGATCTCACAAGCACTAATGAGATGGAGGAGGAACCTTTTGAAGAGTCTTGACTACTATTTAGTTATTTCTTTTGTTGTTCACTACTAAAGGACTTTACTTGTTGTATGGTGAAAGATAGATACTCTATATTTGATAACTTGAGTGTAATATACTTTGTTTTGGTACTCTAATAGTAGTGGACTGTATCTTTAAGATTTTAAGATAATTTATGATTACTTTTGATAATTATAGAATTTATTTATATGACCAAGTTTAGGTTATCAATTATCTTTTGATTTTATTTTGGATGAAACTAAATAAGTAGGAAATTGGTTCTTCAATGCATGAAAGAAATGAATGTGAACTTTGTACATTTGTGGTTACACCTTAAGTGTACCCTATCCCTAAGAGAGTTTTAATTAAAGATTGGAGTCCACTTGCATGGTTATGCCAATACTTGGTATGACTATATTATTCAAGTGGTAATTATTAATATCATGATTTTTCAAAGGTTTTGAGCATGTGTAAATAAAAATAATGAAATCTCACGAGTAATTATTAGCAATAAGAATATGACATGTACTTCTATAAATTGTTCCTCATCAAGTGCATGAAGAATTAAGTTTCATGTTGTGACCACGTGTTATTTAATATATATATATATATATATATATATTAAATAGCAATTATTATACATTACATGACACGTTATCAAAAGAGGATAGGAAGTAGGATCGCCACATAAAACAATTGAAGTATCAACAATGTAGAATGATTAGGAATTATATTTTATATAACATCCTCATTCATATAGAAAACATAAATTCTAGGTTGGTTATCATAATATCTTTGCATGATCAAATTTTCTAATGTAGTAAAATCTAATATCTTGATATTTCAGACTAATATTTAATAAAAAAAAATCCTAATATCTTAGGTAGATTCAATTAAAAATAGTATTTGAGTACAAGAATTAAAAGCAATCACACTAAAATCTAACTTCTATGTTTAAGTAATTAAAATTCAGATATGTTTTACTTTATATTTGAACATTAAATCGAAATAATATGTCTATTGTATGTATACATATTTTCTTTTAAAGATGATATTGTAATTATTAACTATGTCATCTTTGTGTTGTTATGCTTGAATTATATGGATTTACATATGTTGGAGTATGAATATGAAAGTTATATGATTGTTGAATAAAGAGC